GAGGACTCAAGACCAAATTTTCATTTGCTTTAAAATACACCACTTGAAGAAGGTAAAACCTTTGTTTTCTTTTGTCACACAATTGTCAGCTGTTAGGTTATTATGAAAGGCTCTCCTTAAAAAGGAGCCTCCACTGGTTGTTACTCCCAAATGCTGATAATTATCTGAAGCAAGATAAATACAAATATCTAGGTTAATGAAGACTGAAACAGATAATGCCTGGACACTACGTTCCCAAGAACAGAGCACACGATTCTTTTGTTACACCCCTGCTAAAGTACTTAACGCAAAAGGTACTGAGACCTTCACTTAGGGGCCTGGTCATGACAGCACCCTGGGGGCTCTGACATGGGTCTGCCTCTGAGCCAAGGCTCTCCTTTAAGGGCATAAAGGGGAAGCCAGTGCATCCTACACCTCAGGCTGGGAACACAAGAACAGGAGAGAACTAGAGTCCAGAAGCCTTCCCTTTACCACTCACTGAATCAGCAGCCAGTCAACCTTAGATTCCCAATCCAAGAGTGGATTAATAGTGATTCGCACTAAAGGGTGCCTGTGGGGACTACACAGGATAATGAATGTGCACCAGCTCTGTCAACAATGAAGTTCCAGACAAAAGGAAGGAATTATTGCAGCCACAAAGGGCTGTGGGGGATTAGCTTCAATTTAAAAAGAAACCAAACCCCAGCCCAACTCTATCTCTTGTGGGCTTCTGTTGGACAGCTGGGTACTCGGGCTGCTTCCTGGATATGTGAATGGATTTTACCTGCTCTGGGACATCAGGCAGGCCTCTGTGAAGCTTTTGAACTCAGATCTTTTTTTCTGTGTGGTGCTCCAGGTGGACAAGTAGTGGTTCCAGTGGACAAAGCCTCAGGCTCGATCCAGCTTCGTCTGGGGTCAGGAGCTCTGGTTCCTATTCTCAGCTAGAATCTTGGGCAGTTATTCAACTTCTGTTTCTTAGTTTTACTCATTTGTTGAATGGAGATTATATCAGCCTTACCGATCTTGAAGATTTTATGAGAACAAAATGAGATGTTTCTTTTTTAGTATGAATATATGCATTGTCAATCATTAGTCTGGAGGCTGGTGTTCTGAAAACTTTTATTCTTTAGAATCAGCCCAAGCTGATTGCAATTCCCTGATGCTGACTTTTTTTTTTAAATAAACTTTTTATTTTGGAATACTTTAAGATCTACACACAAGTTCCAAAGACAGTACAGAGAGTTCCCATATTCTCTTCAACCCACTTCTCCTAAGGTTAATGTCCTACATAACTATGGCTCATTGTAAAAACTAAGAAACCAGTGCTGGTACATGAATATCAACAAATCACATGTTTATTCAGATTTCACTGGCTTTTCCACTAGTGTCCGTTCTCCCTTCCAGGACTCAGTCCTGGAGACCACATAGCGTTCGGTCAGCACATTTCCTTCATGTCCTCTGGTCTGTGTTGGGTCCTCAGGTTCTCATTCATTGGCAGTTTGAAGGGTGCTGGTTAGGTACCGCTAGGCCATCCTCAGTTTGGTTCTGTCTGATGTTTTCCTCATGACTGGACAGAGGCCATGGGTCTTGGTGAAGAGCCAAGTGCTCTTATCACTCAGAGGTACATGTTTGGGGCACTTTCTTACTTTCTGGCACTGGAAGATGCTCCAGGCTCATCTTATACATTCATTGCCCCAGCCCCAGAATCAGCCATGTCTCCAAGGACCCTGATTCCTTTTTTTGGACAACAGTATTAGGAACCAAGAATGGTCGCTAGGTGTGCTTGTTGTCACTGGATGATGCTGATTTTTAAACAAATAACATTAAGGAAAATGTTTAGAGTCAGAAATCTTGACCCACTGTGTTATTCTGGGAAAGCTACTTTGCCATGCTGGGTCTCAGTTTCCTCATCTATGTTGGGATCATGAAAATCACTTAAAAAGCTGTTGTGGGGTCAAGTGGTATAATATAACAGGAGGAACTTTCTGTTTCTGACATTAGGCAGCTGTATTTTCTTTTTACTAACCTTCCTCCTGAAAACAATCAAAATTCTTAAGAGAAACTATAGAAACATCTTCAGAGTACCAATGATCTGACAAAACGATAATGCCAAAAATGTATAAGAAATGGGAACCAAAGAAAATATACAAGTAAGAAAGGTTTATTTGCCCTGAAGGCATTTGCCATTTCCAGCAAATCTAAATTTTCATTCTGACAGCCTTATGGTGGCTGGGGAGGGGGCGGGGAATGACGATAGTCAAAAGCAAGGCCAGCACTAGACAAGACATGTAATAGGAGACCCTCCCTCCCATAAGGGGGATGCCAATTCTTTGAACTCTCTGAATCTTCCAGGAAACCTCATCTTGAGTTTGGTTTAAGGTGGGTCTCACACTAAGAGTACCTTCAGATGCCTTGTAAGGAGAAAAAAAAGGTACCTTCAGTTTGGCTTTCATGTAAAACTTACAGATCATTTTTTCAATAACAATGACCAGCACAAATTAAAAGATAACTCAACATGTAGCAGAAGCAACAGACAAAAGGAAATAGACCTGTAAAGACTTAAGATATTGGAATTACCAGCTATAGACTATAAAACACCTATGCTTCAATGCGTAAAGAAATAAAAGACAAAACTGAATATATCTTTGGGCAAAGGCAACCTCAAAAGGGAGAGGGGTGATATGAAAAAGAAAAGAAGGGATTTTTAAAATAAAAATCCAAACAAGTGGGATTAAAAATGTATGGGATGAGTTAATCAGAACGTTAGATGCACCTAAAGAAAAAAACAATTAGGAAACTTGAAGTTATCATGTGAAAGCACCTAGATCAGCTGAAAGTAAATGCCTTCAGGAGTATCAATCATCCCAGTCCCATTTCTGCTCTTTCACAAGCACACTCCTATTTAGCACCTCCAAATGGCCAAGGTTCCCAGATATTTTAGTGAAGGGAAGCTGCTAATATTATTTCTGAAACCTTGAGATTCCTTCAAAGGGGTGTGGTAGAGGTGGGAAAGGAAACATCTGTGCTAGCTCCACCACTCTCTCCCCTCTGGGAGCCCCAAAAATGCCCAGAAAGGGGGTGAACACCCCTGGCTGGCAGGTCAGAGATCTGTGAAAGAAGCCTTGAGATGTCCAAGAGGCCTGAACAATCCAGATCCAGCCCCTCAGATAATGCTTATTCCAAAGTTGCTGGCTGGTCCCTGCTTCTCTCCCAAGCTGATGAAGATTGTAGTGAAGAGTGTAGAAAGCATGTTGCACTGTATACATACAGAGCACTTCAGTGTTTTATGCGAAAGTTGGTTTCTTTTACTCAGCATTCTTCTGATGCGTTATTTATCTAATTCTGTATCACTGAAATACATGGTCATGTGGATTTAAAATCTTCCCTCATGTAGTTCTGTGTGTGTGTGTGTGTGTGTGTGTGTGTGTGTGTGTGTGTGTGTGTGTGTGTTTTAATTAAAAAGCATTCTCTTTATCTCTCTCCAAAGTGGGCATTTTCTTTGCGGGAGGTAGTTTCCAAAGATAGCTGCCATTAGTTCATTCTTTCCCTATACGTATATCTTACTCCTCACATTTAGACGTGAAGTACCCGTCTCCAGCCTTGTGACTCCCTCTGGCCAATAGAATGCAGCTGAGATAACATTAGTTAGCTCTGGGCCTAGCCTTCAAGATGACTGACATCTTCCATGTTCTCTTTGGAAACCAGCCATCATGTAAAACATTCAGCCACTAGAGACTACCATGCTGCGAGGAAGCTCACAATAGGCCACACAGAAAAAGCTGCCTAGCCAACCTAGCTGCCATCCTAGCTGAGGTGACTTCCAGGAGACTGAAAAAGCCAACTTGTGCACACAGCGCCCATAGGATCACATGGAGCAGAAGAACCACCTCGCTGAGCCCTGTCCTCATGCAGGATCATGAGAAATAATACATGGCTGCTGTTTCAAGTCACTAAGTTTGGGTTTCATTTGCCACACAGAGATAGATAACTGAAACACCTTTACATAAGCTTTCCTTCATAATTACCATCCTCCTGAAAGGTAAAGGTATTCTTTAAGATTCTTCGGGGTCTATTCTTGTCTAGCTTCTGCAGACTTCTCTAGGTTCCCACTTGAGACTTCTGCCAAACTGGTCTTTTCACTGTTTCTTAATATATGTGTCCTAAGTACTCCCATGTTGATGATTCTGTTCACATGATCAACCCTGTCTGAAGGCTCAACTGTACTTCCTGCTCCTCCATTGAACCCCCACCTTTCCTTGGCCAGAATTTTCCATTCTTCAAAGTCTAGCACTAGGATAACATTCATTCCTAAGTGACCTCTGTCCTCTGAATTTTGAATTTATTCTTGTGGCCAAGTTCATTGGAAAGCCTCTGCTCCCTTGTGTTATTTGTTTTTAAAGTCAACTGTGTGTCTCCAAATACAATAAGCTCCCTTGAATGCAGGGACTGATCATATACTTACTTGTATGCCAGCATTTAACAGAGGGCCTAGAAGAAAGGAGGTACTCAAAAACTGTGCTTTATAGGTTATTATACTATATTATTTTTCTTTAGAGCAGCATTTTGGAGGTGATTTGCTGGCTCTACCTGCATTTTGGGGGGTTCTGTAGCTATCCTATTGAATCCCATTACATTGCCTTGGCTACCACTGACATAAAAATGCCACAGATCTTTTTTCTGAATATGGAGCATGAGTTAATAGGTTTTGGTAAGAAGTAGAAAATTGAAAATCACTTAATACTTTCTTTTTTTTTTTTTGCCAAGACAAGAAAAATGTTTTTGATTCCCTCCTCTCCATTTCATGTCAGAAGGTTCATGCATAGTGAATCATTGCCTTGTCACTTAAAACTCTGAAGTGTAATATGATCATGGTAGGCAATGAAAACATGTATGTGAAATCCCAAAGGCATAAAAATCCATGAGGGGAAACCGATAAAAGATTGACAGGACTGTTTTCTAAGTAAGCAAAGAGCTGACAGCTGATGCACAAAGAGTCTCTTCTGCACACCAGGGACGCTTACCTGACTCCTAATCTTCATGCTGGCCGTGGAAGTCAAATATTTATGTTCCAGATACCAGGCACGCTCCCGGAACATCAGCTTGGTTCCAAATAACATGCAAAACTAAGAGATGGGGAATGAAGAAACAGACAAATAGTAATATACGAACAAACGCCGAACTGAAGGAGAAAGAGAAATAGCATAATATTACATTTCATAAAATCATAAAAATTAATACTCCCTTGATGTAAAGTGGTCACATTTTGGACATGCAGTGTGTTTTATTTTTTTAACTATCCTATGGAAAATTCAAAGCACATAGAAAAAAGAAGCGCATAGTTAATTCTCATGTACCCATTTCCCCAACTGCACAAATATTGGTTCAGGGTCAGTCTTGTTTCATCTGCAATCACACCCAGTTCTCCTCCACCCCAGGTTATTTAGGAAATAATATTTTAAAAGTCCGCATGTATTTTTAAACATGAAAGTAGTACTTCTGTTTGATTTCCTTCTCAATTCATGAAAGAATATTCTAAATGTACATTCTGAATAATATCATCTTGATATTTCCACTGAACATGGTTTGATTAAACTAGCATAAAAATAGCATTCCTCATTTGTATTTTGTTCCAATATGTTTTTCCTATTACACTTCTAAAACCTACACACACAATTCCTTCATGATGTCAGTGGCATCGAGCTATAATAAATTAGTTTTCCTAGATCAAAAAGTAACTTTTAAATTAAATATTTACTCACTTAGATTTTAATAGTAATTCCAAAATTACACAAAAGTAGAGAGAATAATAAAATGTACCTCCATGTCTCCATCTCCGAGCTTCAATAGCTATCAACTCGTGGCAATCTTGTTTTATTTCTACTCCCACCCATTTCCCACTTTCTGTATTATTGTGAAGCAAAGTTCAGTCCTATCATTTCATCCATGAGCTTTACACTGTGCATCTCTAAAAGATAATGATGCTTTAGAAGTAAGATCTTCTCTATGTCAACCCAAGCAACAATAAAACCCTCTTATTCAGAGGCAGGCAGAGGTGACCTTCACACCATAAGACTAAGAGTGTATGTTTTCTATGGATCATCAGACTCAGAAACCACACAGCTGAATCATGTACATGGGATGGGCTCCCCCTTCTTTTCCTCAGGTTCAGGGGAACCTCCTTGAAATAGCATTATTGTGGAGAGCCTCAGCTATTTAGTCTTCCCAGAAGATGTCACAGTATGGCTCAGTAGCTTGTCTGTGAAAGATATTTAAGATAAATTATGACTCTTTTATGACCTCGCCAAAGTTCTGGGCAGTAGCTGCTTGGCCAAGGCGAGCTTCCTTTGGCCCTTTTACACAACAACAGTAAAGATGTTAGCTGAGCCCATGAGGCAGAGCACCTTAATGCCATAGAGCCCTGAGACATGGTGAAAGCAACTGAAAAACACTACTAGGTACTGGTAACATGAATTCTTATAAGCATAATAAATTGTATAGATTATGTGGCTAGACTGACTCACAAGTCTCTAGGTAAATTTCGTATCCACTATAAAAATATTTTTTGTGGATCCATAGGTGCAGAAAGTTAATCCTCATCACTCTTGGATATACAAAAATATAAGGTCAGTGATAAGAAATACAGGGCCATAGAAATATAAGCATTTATTGAAATAATAAAATTCATCTTCTCACTCAATCCATAATCTGGTGTCAGCCAAGGTTCAACCAAGGAAACAGAGGACATATTCACATTAAGATGATTCAAGAAGAGTTTAAAAATTTTGTTTATAAAGGTGTGGACAAAATGTAGGAGAGCCACAAGGGATAGCACATCACTTTGGAGCTAGGATCTCTGGGGCCATTACCACCATTAGGTTTCAAGGGAGGAGAGCAGGGAGTGGCTCCTGGATCCTGGAAGAGAGAGCAATGTAGACAGGGACACCTTTTAAGGAGCTGTGACCTTCAGCTTAGGAACACAGAAATCCTAAGGTGACCCCACAGGGAGCAGGTATTCTAACCTCATTCTCCTCCCCATCCTCAATCTCTAGCTGGAGCTTTTTGTCCTTGGAACCCAACTGGATCCAGAGCACAAGGGTTCCATTGCTGTAAATTAGGTAGGTCAACTTTTGGACTAGCACAGGGAGAGAAGGGTGGAGGGGCAAATAGAGGATATCTGTTACAAATCCCATCTCTGACATCTCTGACAGATGATCATCCAGCCTCTGCTCAAGTCCTCTCTGATTCAAGTCCAAGCTCACTTGGTCCCACAGAGCTCCTAACAACCCCCTGACTGCTGATACCATTCCCAGGCTTCATTCCAGACTGCCAGCTTTAACCAATCTCACACTGTGCTCCCTGTCTGCTCTTCCCTTGTCAATTCCTGAGTTGTCCTCCTGCTGTCACTCTGTGGCTTTTGCTCAGGGCCACTATTTTAGCTTTGAACTTGCTTTTCTCCTTGAACATGGTTCAGACTCCCCTTAGCTCACTCTCTTTGCTTGTCCTGGCTATCAGAACACCATCTCTAGGTCCAGAGACCATCAGCCCAGCCTCAGGCCCTCAAACAGAGCCCGGATGTCTCTCCTCTTGTGTTCCAGAGAAGGGAGCACAGTGCATTCAAAAGTCAGAGGCATTTGGTTCTCTAAGGAGCCCCACTGCTGGAAGAGCCATTGCATATTAAACCACTTGTCTATGTGAAGTATGAATTTATGGATTGTCAGCTCTGTAGGAAAGGAATATTGTCCTGCTTGTCTCTGTACGCCTAGAGTCTGGTAAAGGAGCTGACACTGTAAGGGAGTGGCTGAACCCAGTTTCCTGTAACTCATAGTTATTAAACCTATAACTTCTGCTGCCTAAGAAGCAAAGCAAGAGTCTATGAAAATGTCCAGACAACAGCCCTTAACAAATTTAAAGAGATGGTTCAGATTCTGCTTAGTCCTTCATTCTTCAAATCTTCCTCTCAGCACATGGCAACCAGCCCTGGCATCACCTTGGACCTGGTGGCCTCTCGATGCTTAATTCTCTCCTTCTCACAGAACAGAGTATCCAGATGTTTCCTCAGCACTGTAGTGTCAGCACCAACACAGCCCTGGATTGGGACTCTGGGCTTTTCTATGCCAGGTAAGATAGAATTTGCTTTTATGACAGCCACACAATATTTTTTAATAAATGAGTGAAAGAATATCAAGCACATTTGGTCTACTCAAATGTTTGTTTACCTGACACTTCGAGCTAAGCCTTTTCCCCCATGAGCTGTTTTTCAACCAACCCATACATACATATCAATATCCCTATATAGATTATTTAAAATTTGTTTTTTAAAAATGAAGTTCTTTTATTCCTTATCCTTTTAATGTAGCATCTTGATGATATGACCTACCTCAGATTCCCAAAATTGCTATGAATCTTGACTTGACCACTGGATATCTTTGTGTCATTTACAAATTTATCGAGTCTCATTATGTCTTTATGTCACAGAACCCATATGATAGGTCTAAATCTTTTGACTCAAGTATCTGAGAATCTATTTAATGGGGTGTTATTTAACTCATATTTCTCCAGCTTGTCCCTAAGGATAACCAGAGAGTCAGGCGGTGTTGGCCAAAATCAAGATACATCAATTTCTCTTCTAGTAACTTGGTTAAGAAAGGAAGTAAGATTAGTTTAGCAAGGCTTAGCCATAGCCAACAGAGGCTCTTAGTGACGGTCTATGTCTTTTCTAGATGATCATAAACTATCTTGAATAGCCTTTTCTAGAATTTTAACTTGGACTTACAGCATTCTCAAATTCTATAATTTCCCAAATCTACTTTTTTTCCTATTTTTAAGAAATGTGGACATTTGTTCATGTATAATCATCTGACATTTCTTTTGTCCACCTTAATTGCAAATGACAACTACAAATCATCCCCATTCAGAAAGAAGATGGGAACATTATAGGCGACAGTAGCTACCTACGTGTTCCTTTTGTCATCTAAAGTGTTCTTCTGCAAATCAGGGCCCTGTCTGTTCAAACTCAGATGTAGCTAAGAATGGCCTTTTAAATCTTCATCGGATTATTTCTTAAGCTTCATGTTTTGCTGCAACTTGGCCAATTGATATTTATTAAATGCTACCCTTTGGTCTTCATCCCTGGGCAAGTGTTGCTACCCCCCTCCCCCAACACCCTACTCCTCATTGTTTGTGTATAGACTTTCTTGCCTGATAAGAATGTTTTGTGTGCCTGAGGCCTTAGACCAATCCTGACAGTGTATGCTAACAATTAGATTTACGGTGAAAGGCTTGTTTTTGTATGCCTGGGGCTCTGGGCCATGCTGTATCAGTTTTTTCTCTGGGGGACTGTGCTTTAAGTAGCTGAGGTCAAATAAAGATATTGTCAGATGAGGAAAAACAGGATTTATTGCCAGCCAATCTGCTCTTAAAGAACTGTTAAAAGTTCTTCAGTCAAAAGGAAAATGATACTAATAGGAAACTTGGAACGTCAGGAATAGAGGGAGAGCAAGGGAAATGTAAATTTGTGGGTAAATATGATAGACTATTCTTCTCTTGAATTTTTTTACAATGTGTTTAATGACTGAAAGCAAAACTTATAAGATTGTCTAATGTGGTTTCCAATGCAGGTAGATGTACTTTTAAGGTGCTGATGACATATACGAGGAGAGAGGGTAAAAGGAACTCTACGATGGTGAGGTTTCCACATACCACTTGAAGAGGTAAAATATTTATTTCAAGTAGACTGTAAAAAGTTAAGTATATATATTGCAATACCTAGAGCAGCAACCAAAAAAAAAAAAAAAGAGTATACAAAGAAACATAGATAACTTAAAATGAAATACTAAAGAATGCTCAAATAATCCAAAAGAAGGTGTGTGTTGTAGGGTGAATAATAACCATCTAAAGCTAATAGGTCCTAATTCTTGGAATCCGAAAATATTACTTTATAAGAGAAAAGTGTTTGCAGGTGCAATTAAGATAAGATTCTTAAAATGGAGACATTATTCTGGATTAACTAGGTGGATCCTAAACGCTACTACATGTATCTTTATAAAACAGAGGCAGAGGGAGTTTCCATAGAAGGAAGAGGAGGTAATGTGACCAAAAAGACAGAGATTAGAGTGAGGTGGCC